CTTTAACATCAATGTCCCCGTCATAAACCTGTAACACATCCGGCACACTCTTTTCAGAACAAATCACCTTCAGTCTGAGTTGTCTGAATACAGGAGTTCTTCCCCACGTGTCATGCTGTTCCTGGACATGTTTTTCTAAGCCTCATATTCCCGTTGACGTAACATCAGGGCACGTTTTTTTCCAATGGTCAAATGTGGATATTCGTAATGTCTGCAGGGTTAAGACTTACTACACTACCGTCTTGTTGAGAAGGCTCTTTATAACAAATACACCGATGTTTGTAATTATGAGGTTAGTAACCCCCAGAGAAAAAGTCCACAACTTAAGTCTCAGTCTCCTATTCTGTAAAATGCGATGAATCAAAGCGCCTTTTTTTTTACCTAATCATACAGATATGCTCTGGCTGGCGTAGCTCAGTGGATTGAGCACGGGCTGCAAACCAAAGTGTCGCAGGTTTGATTCCCAGCCAGGGTACATGCCTGGGTTGCAGGCCATGACCCCCAGCAACCAACCGCACATTAATGTTTCTCTCTCTCTCTCTCTCTCTCTCTCCCTTCCTGCTCTAAAAATAAATAAATAAAATCTTTAAAAATAATAATAATACAGATATACTGCTTCCTACTTGCCAGGCTCCATTCCAGTGCTATTACAAACCCTATTCATCTGTTCTTCTAAAGACACCTGTAAAGTGGATGCCTTTGCATTTCAGAGAAGAGCGGCCTGAGGCACGGAGGGGTTGAGTAAGCTGCCCAGGTTAGCAAGGGCAGGGGCAAACAGCGCCCCAGCTCCCGGGGCAGCCGTCTGGTCTACAACCTCGTTTCCGTCTCTCGGCGACCTCGCCGCTCACTGTTGAGCAGAGGCCGGGCAGGGATGCACGCAGTGTTGTAGACGAGGCCAGGCGCGTGTGAGGTGTTCAGGAAATTCGAGGCATATGAGACGTGGGTCTCTTTTTAAGGTCAAGAATCTGCATTCTTCTTTTTTTTTCTTTAATCAGACTGGTCCCGATCCACTGTCCAGTCATCGAGAACGCTCCGTGTCACAGGTGTGGGTCCCTGGTGGCTGTCTCCCTTCCCTGGTGCATGCGTTGGCTGTAGAATAGTGAACGGAGGAATGACACCTCTTTAACAGCAAATGAGAAGTGCTGTTTTAGTCCTACCTAGTGATGTGTGCTTTGTGATGTGTGGTCTTTGTTACCCCTAATAAAACTTAGGGTGACAGTACATTTTCCCTGAATAAATGTGGTAATCTGACTGAATTCCATGTGGTAGTGAGTTCCAAAAGCCCTCCTTAGATGACATTAATGTTTCATTTCCTACGAAATAAAAGTTATTAAATAATATTGTTAATTTTAAAAATCCTTTAAAGAGGCAATTCCTTTTAGCTTCTCTGAAGCAAAACTAATTCTGTTTCTTCCTAATGGCAGATGATTTAGGAAGTGATAAAAGGAAAACACATTAGGGAGTGTGTCTGCAGGGGAGGTCATATATTTTTACTATGGTCGGCGCTGCCTACACAGTTGTTCTGGTCTCCCTCGCCCTGGACAGAGTGGACGCAGGGGTGCAATGTGCTGGAACTTTGGCACCCTCTTTTTTCTCACTATAAATTTGACAGCTGAGCTCTGAACAGTGGGGAAAACCGCTGTTTGAGTGTCAAAAGGTGTAGCTGAGGGTCTTAGCCCTACAAACAAACCACAGGACAGCACGTTCAAGAGCGCTGATGCACTCACTGTACAGTGAAAAGAGGGGACAGAGTTCCCTTTGCTCAGAGTCATACCATGCAAAGAGATGATTTTAATAAACATGCCTGAGCTCATGCTAATGTGCCTTAGGGAAAATGCTAGAATTTGCTTCTCAAACCTGCAGTATGAAATTTCCATTTGAGTCAGAATTTTAAGAAAACAGATCAGTGTAAACAAATAGTGACAGGTCTGTGGCATGTGGCATGTTCCAGCACAACAGCGCAAACGCTGGGACTTGGTGGGCGTCTCTGTGCATTTACGACTCTGGTACTACATGAGTCAAGGACATCCCCAGAAATTGAGCTCCCATCCTGTGGTGGCGGCAGATGGAAATGAGTGTGTGTTCGTGTGTGCACAGTGTAAGGAAACTCTGACCATGGAAGCACAGAGGTGATACCACATGTTTTGTTAGTGTTTGTTTTTTGTAAGAATTCAGCCTGTGGAACCAGAAATAGCTGAGTTCCAGTTATAAGTTCTGCTGTTTATTAGCCACAGAGGCTTACATTTTATTAGATTGTTTTCTCACCTACGTATTAGGGGAAAAATTGTATGTATACTTATTTTCTATGTATTATAAGTGAGTCAAATGCAAGTAAAGTCCTCGGCAGAGTGACCACCACGTAGAGCTTATTTAGAACAGTGTGTCTACAAATACTCACATAGACAGAGATCATGAAATTAGATTATTCTCCAGAGAGAACCTTCAGGAAATTATTTTTTATACCATACAGATGAAGAAAAATTCAAAGAAGCAGCATGTTTTCTCTTGAGCAATAAGATCATTCTTGCCCCACTGAAGAATGAACTTCATTTTATATATATTTAGGGGCTATTCCTACCATAGACTGTTAAGGCTTGCCTCTTGATGATTAATAATAAAAGTTCAAAATAATAATTGCAACTAAGATGAATAGAAATCACAGTTCCAGCTCAGATGTAGCAGTGGTCGCTATCAAAAAGGCTGCTTATCTGAGGTCCAATGTCTCTAGTAATTATGTTCCTTAAAGAAAATAAAGTAACCTTTTTATTTTAATCTGATTGGGAGAATAAACATTGGTCCATGAACAATTAAGCTGTTGCTCTTTATTCATAAATTACTTTCATGAAGAAAAGATTTTCACAGGGATTTTTAGTAAGGCTTTCTGGTCTACCACTTAGAACAAGACACTGTCAGCTGAAGCTGTCTTACCAGGGACTTGCTCTGGGTGTGTGATTATTAAGATTAAATTTTGGGAATGAACATTTGTAACACTAATGTCCCTGGGATCCTTGCTTCCAAATGAATTTCAAAGCGGAGTTCTTCACATTGTGGAGGCAAAAAAAAAAATCAAAACCATGTACTTTTCCGGTCAATCCCAGTGTTCCCTTGAAAGGAAAATGCTGTGGAAAAGATGCGGTCTTCTGTGCATCATTTCCATTGGGGGACCCCAAGCAAACCTGCATGAGAAGGAAGTACTTCAGTAAGCACAGCTACTTGTCAGACGGCTAACTGATCTCAATTTCAGAATAAGGTTTACATTTGCATAGTAATTTCAGTACAAAAATGTATGTATTCGTATTCATGTGTTCATGTGTCCTGAATTCTCTGTGTATTCGTATGTACTGTATGTTTCATAGTTTGGGAATCATTTACTATGATTTACTTTAGGGCAGGGATTTTCTATTTTGCTCCACTGAAATAAAATATACTCATCTATGTAATGCTAACTCAGACTTTCAGAATCCGGACGGGAATATCTGGGAGGTGGTTGTTTGTAATAACATTTGCCAGTAGAAAGTCAGTAAGCACTACCTGTATGCAGCTGTGTTCTAAGCTCCAGCATGCCTTCGCTTTTTCTTAAAGTGGTATTTCTGTTTGATGGTCTAAAACAGCCACTAGCTCACAGTCTCTCTGTAAAGAACCACACGGGAAGTGTTCATGGTTTAAGGGTTGCCAGTGAAACGGTTTCCGAAGCTGCTATTCGCTCTGCCTCTGACAGTGTGTCAGCACCTGAGCTGGCCTGTATTCCAATAAAACTTCATGTGGACACTAAAACCTGAAGGTTATATATACTTTTTGCACGTAATTTAATATTCCTCTTTTCATTTATTTTTACCTGTGTAGAAACGTGAGAACCACTTTTAGTTCCCAGGCTGTGGTGCGAAAGCAGCCAGCCCCGGCCGTGTGCGGCCTGTAAGCTCCGGTTCGCAAGACCCCCAAGCAGAGGCCGGGAGCCAGCGGCAGCATCACGCTGATCCCTCTCCTTTCCCCGTTCTGAGACCTTCGCTTGCTAGGCTTCTTTCTTTCATGAAGCTGAAGTGTATCTTCGAGTAACTTCTACCTGTGGATTCCAGAGTATTCTCTCTGGAGCCAACTAGAACAAAATCTCTCCCTTTGACGTACCATAGAACTGTGGGAGGTCGAAGAAGGCCGCTCGGACCCTCAAGAACTTCTCCGTCTCTTACTGTTTTTGAAACTCTTCCCAGATATCTATGTTCAGTGGCTGTGTTCTATACGGGACTTAATTTTCTAGTTATTCCTCATAACGTGAACACATAGGAAACAGAAACTTTATAGTCTGTGTAATAGAGCGCTTGGGAGAATTTTTGTTTCCCAAGATCTGAAAGGTGATGGGTTAACAGTGAAAGGTGATGGGTTAGGGTTGGGAGTTGTTGATTTATATTTTTATTTTTTAAATATAATCTACTTCGTTATAAAGATACCTTACTGGTAAATAAATCCTGGCACTGTTTCCCATGCTTCTGCATAGTGGTCAGCACAAATACCTATAGATACTGACACATTTATTTTTTAAAATTTAATTTCTATAAACTATGTTTTCTAAATGTGTTTATTGAAAAAAATTTAATACAAAAATATTTATAAAAAAGAGAAGGGCATTAGACAAAAGTCATAAATCCATTTTCTTGTATTAGAGTCTAGTAAAGCTAACCAAAAAAATAAGTTATTAAATTAAAATAGTTCATTGGTATCTTCCAAACAGCTTTATTTACTTCATTCATTCTCCCAAGTACCCAATGGCACATTAATCTTACCTCCTTAGATTGGGTTATAATTATTTCTTATTTGGTTCAATGGAGACTAAAAACACTTACGATGTTTAAGAAACATGAGAAATCAATAGTCAGTAGCACATAATTTTCCTCGATGAAAATATATTAATTTTTATTTATCAAGTTCTGACTTTGTCAATATTAAATGTGCTCTTAAAACCGAACCATCTTAAGGAAGCAAATTCACTTTTATTTTGCACTTAACAGGCTCTGGCTTGAATGATGGACAGTGGCATGAGGTTCGTTTCCTGGCCAAGGAAAACTTTGCTATTCTCACCATCGATGGAGATGAGGCGTCGGCAGTTCGAACCAATAGTCCTCTCCAAGTTAAAACTGGCGAGAAGTACTTCTTTGGAGGTAAGACTACCATTTTTTGTATCAGGTAACTAGTACATTGCTAACCACAGAGTTTCTATCAAGTTTGATTATGAAGTATTTATACTTGACTTCATGGACGCAGTAGATCTCAGGAAGAAAACAGTCATAATCCATTGAGTCCAAAAAGTGTGGCAAATTGGTTTCTACGTGATAAAGGTATCACAGTGATATCACTGGGTTCTTCTAGTCCAGTTCAAATATTTCAGGTGTAAAGCATGAGGTTCTGAATCTTCTCTTTCTCATAACAGACCTTGGATTATATTGGGTTGGCCAATGAGCATTATGCTAAGTGAAATAAGCCAGGCAGTGAAAGGCAAATACCATATCATCTCACCTTAAGTGAAATTTAATCAACAAACAAGCAAGCAAAATATAACCAGGGGCATGGAAATAAAGAACAAACTGACAGTAACCAGAAGAGTGGGGGAGGGGGATAATGGGGGAAAGAAGGGAAAGGGTCATCTAGGAACATGTATAAAGGACCCACGGACAAAGCCAAAGTGGGGTAGGACTGAGGGTGGGAGGTGGGGGTGTGTGGGGCGAGGGATAGTGGTAGGGGGCAAATGGAGACAACTGTTCTTGAACGACAATAAAAAAAAGTCCAATTAGTTTTTCCTGTAAAATAAAAAGACACATTTTTCACTTTTGCCAGTAACTTCATTGATTTGGATATTTTGAGTATGTTGGCTATCTTCTGCTATTGGCTTCTAGTGGGGAGAGGCCGGGGGTGCTGCTAAACATCTTCCAGTGCGTAACACAACCCACAGCAAAGAATAATTTGGCCGAAATGTCAGCAGTACCAAGAAACTTTGCAAACCACTTTTGACATGTTTGATCACTCACAACACTTTCTCCATACACTGCACAAAATTTTTTACAGTTCTTACCTTTTGCAGAAATAATAAAGCATAATATGCCAAAAATGTTGCATATTTTCTTCCATTTTCTATGTTAAAAGAGCTGAATAGAAACTCACCAGTTTTGATAAGTTTTTTTTAAATGCACGCTGATCTGACAGCTGCCACAATACAGTCTAACAAAATTGTTTCAACTGAAATTAAAGACAACTAAGCACTACTAGAGCCATTGTATGGAAAGAACTACATAAACTTCTTGGCCAGCCCAATATATTTGTCACCTACTACTGTGTAACTGTGATTACCCCAAAATGTGGTGGCTTCCAACAGCAAGCATGATCTCCCAGTTGCTGGAGATCAGGAACTGAGGAATGGCTTGGCTGGAAGTCATCCCCGCACCACTGTGTGTGGCTGTATCACGTGGAACCTTGACGCGTCGGAGGTCCTGCTTCCGAAAAGGTGCACTCTCTGGGCTGACAGTTGCAGCTGGTTGTTGACTGGGGAGTCTTCGTTCTCCTCCACGTGGCTCTGACCCTTCAGGATCTCTCTTTGTCGTGTGGCCTCTCCTACAGGTGATGGGACTGAATGGGGTGCTGAGGAGGGAGGAAGAAGAGAGAGATGGGAAGGGGAGGGGAAAGGAGAGGCATACGCAAGGGAGAGTTTCCAAGATGTAAACCTGAGTTTTCTTCTAGCTCAGTGTTGTCAATGCTCTCTGCCCCTGTGGTTATACACAGCTTGTTGGAGCGAGTCGCTGAGTCCAGCCCGCACTCCAGGAGGGGGTGGTACAAGGAGACAAGGGTTGTTGGGACCATCTTGGAGACTGCCTACATGTATCTGGATTATTAAGTAATGAAAAGATGAACAAAAAGGAAGAGTCTCTTAATGATAAATTGTACTGAATATAAAAGAGTATTGCAGTGTAACCCTAGCATAGTTTCTATATTAAAAAATGCATCCTGGCAGAAACTGATTTTTTTTAATCAATGAAATATGGAGACATTTTTAAAGTGCTAGGTTTGTTGTTTAGATCAATATATCTTTCATTAGGTTATTGCCTATCTCATTTTAAATCGTGCAATGTGAAACTGAAACAAATACACTGCATTAGAAAAGACTTTGGTTTAAACTCTTTATACACACGTTTGCCTCTGGAAATATAGCTATTAATATTCACATGTATATTTGCTTATATTAAAAAGCTTATATATCCCTATATGTATACATTTTTCTGACTATTAGAATAAGTCTACTTGACAGCATTTATCTTATATGGATGTCTTATTCCCTATTGTATCCCCCAAGGTCCTAGAAAAATTCCTACAATATAGTAGATATTTATGAATGAATTGATAAGTTCTGAAAAAATGGGGAGGGCAAGGATTTTGTGCCCTTTTCTCTAAAAGAAGATGTAGAAGCCCTAGGAGCTCTCCTGACTTGGCCACTGAGTTTGCAGCCAGATCTGACCTCAAGCCCTCGGACCCCCCTACCTAGCTAGGCGTCTCTCCCTCTGCGCCCCGATATGATGTTGAGAGTCGACTCGGAGACGAAAGCCCTGACCTAGACCTCTGCTTCTGTACTCGTCCACGGTATTTCTCAGCAGTTAAACTTACCTAAGTTTAAAAAGGCTCTTAAAAAGTATTTGATGAGTGGATGAAAATCAGACAAGATGTCTTATTGATGTGAGAACAAACACAGCCCCATAGCCCAACAGGTTTTCCTCTAAAGACATATTTAATGTGATGGGCTTTCGGCCAGCAGATTTTATTGTTGTCCTCGGCGATGGGTCACAATGGTCAGTTAGAGAGCTGTTGACATTTCCTGCCCATCCAGATGACAGGGGAGTGTCTTTGGCCTTGGATGAGCTAGCTGAGCCGTTTTGATCTATTTCCAGCTCGGTGAGTAAGCAAACAGCTATAACCACAAATTTATGGCATAGAGTTTATGAGAGATGAGGGCTTTGTAGATTGCTATTTACTTTCCAGATTTTGGTTTTCAAACCCAGCAGTCAAGAGCGTATTTTCTCCCTCTTGGGCTGCTGATCTTCCATTGAGAAAAGCTGTCAGCAAACGGTCTCCATGCTTCCTTGGTTAGATGAGATCTGTCCAGAAAATATCCAGCCACGTGCTATGAAACCTAGAGACATTTATTGAAGAAGATACAAGATACCTTGTACATAGGACAATGATGCCCCAGTCTCCTTCAAAGTAGGCACCTTGGGACCTCACACAGTTCTCCCAATCGCCATCAGCCACCCTGTCTCATTTTCCTGAATCTCACCGATGGTCTGAAATCTCTTCCCCTTTAAAGGTGATTTTAGTTTTGGGAAAAGCCGAAAATTGCAAGGCACCAATTCTACATCTGTGCTGTAGGGGGACCGAGTCACCTGGGTGATTTGATGTTTCACCAAAAATCTCTGCACAAGATGTGATGCATGAGCAGGTATGTTGTTGTGATGAAGCTGCCAATCACCAGTTGTCCATAGCTGCTGCCTTCTGAATCATCCGAATAATTTCTGCAGAGAAATGTTCAAGCTTAACACAAAAACTGGATGCAGAGTCATTGCACTACTCACTCAGTCAGTCTGAATGTAATGTCCACACAGCACTCATGCTCACTCAACAGCATCTACCGCCCGCACTGACTAGTACAGTGAAGTTCGCATTATTCACTCATGCACATTCCAGCCCACTGTCCTTGGCCACTGGGTTACATCGATGTTGTGCAAATCGCTCTCATTATATTAAAATGGATGGACTTTTTCCGAACAGACCTTGTATGTAGTTAGTGCTATATGTGGAAATTGTGTTTGAGAAGGATCAAGAGGAAGTTTCCGTTGGGCTTCAGGGTGGAATTCAGCGGGATCTGGCTGAGTGGAGCAGCAAGGTGATGAAACTTAAAAGTAGCTCCACCTCTTGCCAGGCTAGCACTGAGGTGTAATACATGATTTTGAACAAGCTCTCGCACCTAATAAATGAGCAGCCTGTTTCTTGCAACTCTCTTCCCTCCCTGCATTTGTTTCAGCGTTACTCTTCCCGGAAGGTGATAAAGGACATCTTGGACCACAGCTGTTCTTCCTTCTCAGGCTATCTCTGGGCAGCTGTGGCTTATGACTACTCTGCTTTCATTTAGGGTACTACTTTTTTGTTTACCTTTTAAACCTCATAAATCGGGGGTTCCCCTTCAATTCAGATTGCCAAAATAATCAGAGAACACCTTCCATTTCAAACTGGTTTTACTTTTATCTCAGCCCGCAGGCTGGCTAGTTCTGGACTGAGTTCATTACTCTCTTGAATACCTTGCTGCACACAGCAAGAAGGAGCCAGTGCACATCAGCAGCTGAGCATTGCCTAATGTCAGAAGTCCCAGCTGGCACCTGGTCTGCCTTCCAAGGAACAGCAGGCGAGAAGATGGCCACCTCATTTTGCTACAAACAACAAAGGCCCCAGCTTTCGGAGCCTGTAATATCCCAGGCATCAGAGCTCGGTACCTAGCGCAGGCAGTACCAGAAACTTTGTAGGTTCTGGCACACTTAGCATCCTGTTTTTAAATGTAGTACCGAAAGAGGTGTTCGTTTGAGTGAGGTTCGGCTCTGAGTGATGGAAACAGCAATGGGAAAGGGGGGAGTCAGGCTCTGAAGGTGTCCAGGGGCTCTGCGGAAAGTCAGGCTTCTTCCGTCATCCGGCTTGACCATCCTCAGCGTTTAGTCTTCATTCGCCTTGCGATCCCAAGTGGTAGTTTACGCTCTGGATGTTATGTCCAGGTTCCAGGCAGAAGCAGGGAGAAAAGAATGGTGGGCGGTGCTCCACTTCTTTTTAAGGCCACTCAACTGAGTCTCCTATTGCACAGGAAATACCTCCTTGGATCCAGCTCCCAGGGTCCCAAGGGAGACTGGGTAACCAAGTGCCCAGCTAAACGTCCAAATCCATACAGGAAGGGAGAAATGAATATTGGAGGTTAATTAGAAGTCTGTGTAACAACTTCTCTATTTAATATTAAACAGTTGATTTTGATTATAGTCTGTGCACCCAATTGTACTTAATAAAGTGGCATCCAATATTATTATTTCCTCCTTGGGCAACTTTTGAAAACCTGTATATGGTTGCTTAATCTAAGGATATTGGA